AGCAGCCTGTGCCTGGCCACCCCCCGGGGCCGCCAGTGTGCCTGTGCCGAGGACCAGATCCTGGGGTCGGACTCTGTCACCTGCCAGGGTAGGCTGCCCTGGCACCCTCGTGGGGACCCCCGTTTCCCCACAGGAAGCTGCACTTGGTCACCTGTGCTTTCCCCTTGGCAGCCAACCCGTCCTACATCCCACCGCCGCAGTGCCAGCCCGGGGAGTTCGCCTGCAAGAACAACCGCTGCATCCAGGAGCGCTGGAAGTGCGATGGAGACAATGACTGCCTGGACAACAGTGATGAAGCCCCTGAGCTTTGCCGTGCGTGACCCTCTCCCATGAAGTGGGATCACCTCCTGGGGCAGCAGGATTTGGGCTAAGCACCCCCAGATGTGGGGCCGGTAGTTGAGGCAGGGTCGGGCAGCCAGGACCCTTCTGTTCCCTTGCCACCTCATGGAGGGGAGCGGGCTCAAGTGGTTGAGGGGGGAAATGGTGATTGGGATCCTGATCCCCGATTTGTCTGAGGCTCTAGCCCTTTTCTGTCCCAGTTTTTCTTTCCATTGGATGTAGAGGAGGGATGGGGTGAGAGGAGGGATGGGGTGGCATGAGGGGCAGGTCCTGAGTGTGTGTCCCCACACAGACCAGCACACCTGCCCCTCGGACCGCTTCAAGTGCAAGAACAACCGCTGCATCCCCAACCGCTGGCTCTGCGATGGGGACAACGACTGCGGGAACAACGAGGATGAGTCCAACTCCACCTGCTCAGGTGAGGAGTCTGCCTGGTCCTCGGAGAGCTGTGGGAGAGCCCGTGCTGGGCCACAGCTGTTCCCTGCATGCCACAGGGCTGAGGCAAAGGTTTTGGGGTCTCAGGTCCCTGTGTCCAACTTGGCTTCGCACCTGTGCCTCGCAGGAGCCTGGGGGGTTGTTCCCCACCTTCCCCCAGCAAAGCGAGGCACTGCCAGCCACTAACGCTCTGTCTGTCCCTCCTGGCTAGCCCGGCCCTGCTCCCCCAACCAGTTCTCCTGTGCCAGCGGCCGCTGCATCCCCATCTCCTGGACGTGTGACCTGGACGATGACTGCGGGGACCGCTCCGATGAGTCGGCCTCATGTGGTGAGCTGGGGAGGGAGCACTGGGAGCACGGAGTGTTTTGTGTGTGTGCTGCTCCTCACCCCACCGCAGGGCCGTGAGGTTTGGGGTGCACATGGGGTGTTCTCCTGACTGACCGTGCCCCTGCCTCTTCCACAGCCTACCCGACCTGCTTCCCCCTGACACAGTTCACCTGCAACAACGGGCGCTGCATCAACATCAACTGGCGCTGTGACAACGGTGAGGACCACGGCCCTGTGGCTACCTTGTGGGCACAGCGAGACCCGAGGCAGGGCTGCAGCCTGGCAGGGACCTTGTTTTGGCAAGGGCCAGTTCTCAGTATGTGCTGAAGGGCAGAGCCCAGGCCTCAAAGGGAGCAGGCTTGAGCCGAAGCTGAGCACATCCTGCAACCCCACATTGCCCTCGTCTGCGCCCGGCGCAGCAAGTGCTGCAGCAATAACCTGGCAGGAGTCATTTCAGACCTTGGTGTCCTTTGCAAGGTCTCCAGAACTTTTGCCAGTGCTGAAGCTGAACATGGCATGGCTGGTGCTGCGGGCAGGGCTGAGCCAGTTCTCACAGCCCTGAAGAAGGCAGGAGAGCTCTCTCAGCCAGCTCTCATCTGCCCTTGGATCTGTTTCCAGGGCCAGGCCTTGGACAGAGGGTTTGCCCCAAGGCTGCTTTCCTTCCCCACAAGTTTATTTCAAGTCTTTGAGCTGCTCTGCCTTGTTATGTTTAATTAGTGGCTTTAGAGCAGGCGAGACACTGGCTGAGCACGTATGTCAGTGTCGGGGTTAGAACTATGGGTATAGGACTGTCCCTGGAGTCTTCCTGAGCTCCCTCAGAGCTGTCCCTGCTGAGGGTCAGTCCTTTGTCTTGGGATTCCTCACCACTGGCAGCCAGGCTGGGGCATGGAGCCTCTCCATGCAGCCCAAAGCCTTGCCAGGTGCCTAGGGCAAGAGCTGCAGTACCACGGGACTCCCCCTGGCCCGGACACCCCCTGCTCCCCCAGCCCCCTCTGCTGCTTCTGGTCTCGCCTCCTGGGCCGCCAGGTGTCTGCGCAGCCTCTGTGTGTCCGTGTCCGTGTCCACGTCCCGGTGTCTGTGCCGCCTGCTGTGCCGTGTGCCGTGGTGTGTTGTGTTTGTCACTGTGCCCACGCTCCTGTCTGGTGGTTCTGTGTTTCAGAAAAAGATTGTGGGGATGGCTCTGACGAAAAGAACTGTCCAAAGCCTACCGGTTAGTGCATAGATCAACATGCACCAGATCCCCATCTGATCCCCTAAACCCCAAAACCTGCCCCCTCCAGAGGGCTGCAGGCCCTTATGGGCTGCTGCTCTGGACACTGGCAATGCCCCCTGTGCCTCTGACAATGCCCCCCAAGCTCTCCAGCAATGCTCCCTGTGGCACTGGCAATGTCCCCTGTGCCTCCAGCAGTGCCCTCAATCCTCTGTGGCAATGCCCCCATCCCTTCTGGCAACGCCCCCCATCATCCCCAGCAATATCCCCCATGCTCTCCAGCAGTGGCAGTGATGTACCAGATGCCAGGCTGCCACTGTCCCTCCCAGCTCACCGAGCAGTCACTTGGGAAGTTCCTGGACATGGGAGCCCAGAGAGGTCAGGTTCTGCAGCTGCAGGAGCCAGGCTGCTGGTGAGGCCATGCAGCAGCCAGCAGTGCCATCATCCCCATCAGTGCTGTCGTCTCCATCAGTGTCATCATCCCTGTGTCCATCATGAGGTTGCAGATGCCCCATTTGAGCCTAGTCAAGGGCATTTGCCTTCCGGTGCCTGGGGCTGCATTGCCAGTGTCCTGGTTCCATCCGACCAAAGGTCCCCCTGCCCATCAGCAGGCAAGGGAATTTTCTCCAGGCAATCTGACACCCCTAATTGGCAGCACCACACTCCGACCGTACAAAAAGGCCCTACGGGCACACCCCTGAAGGAGTGCCCTGTCCCCCAGGCCTGCTCCCCCCGGAGCGGAGTGTCCCGTGGTGTCGGGTGCCCGCGGCCTCCCCAGGTTCATGGCTGATCTATGCAGTTTCTGTGTTTCATTTTCTCTGTGCACTGCTGGTGCTGTGGTGAGTGGTGGGGTGGGAGGGCCGGGGGAACACCGTCAGCGCCAAGAGGCTGCTGTCGCCCCACGTTC